AATAAGATATTTACATCAAAATAGATCCCTAAAGTAATCTGAAGTCCCTTCATCTGGAGGTTTTCAAGATAAATTAACTTTTATTTTCAAGAGTGGTTTCAAAATAGTATTACCTTAAAGCATCTGCCACTCCTTTGAAGGGCCTAGATTAACCCCAGCTCATCTTTCCTACATGATTACTAATGATAAATTTATAATTTTTGTTTGTGTCTTGTTTATTTCAAAGGTTTACAAGATAAAGGATTTTTAGAGTTAGGGAGGTACTCAGAAATTATTTAATCCAGTAAGTGTCTGAGGCATGTAAGTAGTGAAGTGGATACAGTGCTGAGCCTGTAGTCATGAAGACCTGAGTTCAAACCCAGCTTCAGACTTTAGCTGTATGAACCTGTGGAACTAACTTCACCTCTATTTACATCAGTTTTCTTAACTGTAAAATGGGGGTAATGATAGCACCTACCTTCCAGGATTGTTGCCACGATCAAATGAAATATTTCTAATATGCTTAGCACAATGCATGGCACATAGTAGGCCCTTAGTCAATGCTTTTTAATCTTATACCCCCTTTAGTCTTAACATATTTCTAAAACAGGAATTTTACATAATGGCATCCCTAGCAAGAAATCATCAGCCTCTGATTGAACAATTCCAGGTAATTTAGTACTATTTAAGATTTTACTAAGACCCAGAGATTCATAGACCAAACCAAAACAAAATAAACAAACAAAAGCTTCTCTACTCTCAAAAAGATCACAGTACAGCCTGAGGTAACAGCATGTACAAATTTTGTAGTGTGTGTGTGTGTGTGTGTCTGTGGTTGTAGTTGCAGTTGTGGTTTGTCCTTTGTTCTTGAAGACAACCATGACATCAGGAAGATCATGCCATGACTGGCAGTTGAATTGGATTTGAGTGAAGGACGGTTGTGCAAGGTCACCAGCCTCACTTTCTCCTCCTGAGCCACCTGGGTCCGGATGCCAGATATAGACAAGACAACTGGAGATGGCTCAAGATGCAGTAGGAAACCTTGGCCTTTTTAAGCTAAGGTCTTTCTGAGTTCTCACTTTGACTGAGGCAACACCCATTCAGTGATTAGGTCTGTTTATGAAATGAGTCAAGGGATGGCCCCTTTAACAAAAAAGTCAAATCAAATCAAACAGGGAGGGGAAGATCCTCAGGGTTGCTGGCCAAAAGAGAAACAATTACTATTTGCATTCACTCTGAGCCATCAGAGCCCCCAAAATAACCATGCTTGGGCAGGGATCTATTATTGGCCAATCCATGAAAGCCAGAGTGAATTGGGTTTAAGGCATGGTTATACACACACACATGCACACACACACACATACACACACATACACATACATACACAAATGTATGAATGTATATACATATATGGGTATGTATATAGATATGTGTATGTATAGTGTGTGTATGTATGTATATTAGATATAAAATTGATATAGACAGCTAAATGCAGCAGATAGAATGAGGTACCTGGTATAAGGAAGACATAAGTTCAAATCCTACTTAGAAACTTACCAGATATATTATCTTAGGCAAGTCAATTAACCACAATTTGCCTCAGTTTCCTCATATGTAAAGTGGAGATAAAATGCCACCTCTCAATGTTGCTATGCAAATAAAAAGAGATAATATTTGTGAAGAAATTTACAAACCTTAAAGTGATATATAAATAATGGTTATTATTATTATTACTATTATTGTCATCATTATTAGTATTACTAATATTATTACTGTTCAAAGTGATTTGGGATGGGAAGGAACTAATGGAAAAGGGATCAAAAAAAGTCTCTTGTGGAAGCTTCATCTGATTTTTAAAATAGGTAAGAGATTATGAGAGCTATAGGAGGGAAAGTGTGAATTCCAAGAATGGAGCACAATCAATGAAGAGATAGAGAGGCAGGGGGAGAAGTATTGAAACTAAAGAAAAGCAAGATGGTCAGTTTTCTTGAACAGAAAAAATTTAGGAGGAAAGTAATGGGCAATAAAACTGGAAAGATAGGTGGGTGGAGTCATTACATGAAGTGTAATAGGGAGCAGTTGGAGATTTTGGGTAAGAAGGTGACATACTCAGATTTGCACTTCAGGAAAATCAGTTTGGCAGTTGTGTGAAGGATGGATAAGAGAAAGAAGAGACTGGGGGAAGGGAGATCAATAAAAAAAGATATTGAAATACTTTTATAGTAATGGGGATAAGGGCCTGAATTAGGCTTCTATTTGAATGAGTGGAGAGAAGGGTAAAGGCATGAGCAAAGTTAGGGAGAAACAAGATTGAGCAACCAAATAGTTAAGTATAGTTAGGAGGAGTAAAGATTTGAGAATGACACAGACCAAATAAATGGTAGGACCATGGTGTCCTTGATGGAAACAAGGAAGTTTATAAGAAGGGTAAATTGAGGAGAAAAAAATTAGTTCAGTTTTGAGCATGTAGAATTTGAGATGTCTATGGGACTTACAGTTCACAATATAAAATAGGAAGCTAGAGACTTGAAACTCATTCCTATTCATCCTACACATTTAATCTGTTGACATATGATATCACTTCTTCTGTCATAACTTTCCTCATATATCTCTTTATTACCAATTCCATCATCACTGCACTAATTTATACTGTTTAAAAACTTATAACCTTGACTATTACAGGTTTGCTTGTATCAAGTCTATCCTCACTCAAGCCCATCCTTATCTTAGCTGCCAAAGTGCTTTCTCTGAAGTTTAAATTCAACCATATTATCTCTCCTCTATTAAATCAATGGTTCCTTATTATATTTTGTATCTAAATAAAAGGTCCTCTGTTTGCCTTCTAAAATTCTTCATAACCACACCATTTCCCATGTTTTGTAGTCCTCTTACACCTTGCTTTCCTCAATACACATTTTTTCATCATTTAAATAGTATTTTATTTTTTCCCAATTACATATCAAGACAATTTTTAGCATTCATTTTTACAAGATTTTGAGTTACAAATTTTTACCTCTCCCTCCTTCCCTTCCTCTTATTCTAAAGTTGCAGACAATTTGATATAGGTTTACAGTCATGTAAAACATATTTCCATATTGATCACAGTTTTGAAAGAACAAACAGATGAAAAAGGAAAAAAAAACACAAAAAGAAGAAAGTAAGTTTAAAAAAATATGCTCTCATCTGTATTCAGAGTCCATCAATTTTTTATCTGAATGTGGATAGCATTTTCCTTCATGAGAGTCCTCCTTTGTACTTGTCTTGGATCATTGTGTTGCTGAGAAGAGCTGAGTCATTCATGGTTGATAAACACAGAACGTTACTGATACTGTGTACTATGTTTGCTGGTGCTTCTTATTTCATTTTGCTTCAGTTCATACAAGTCTTTCAATGTTTTTTTTTAAATCTGCCTGTTCATCATTTCTTATTGTACAATAGCATTCCAATTACATTCATATACAAAGCTTGTTCAGCCATTCCCCAACTGATGGGCATTCCCTCAATTTCCAATATTTTGCCTCCAAGAATAGAGATGCTATAAATATTTTTGCATGTGTAAGTTCTTTTCCTTTTTTATGATCTCTGAGATACAGACCTTATAGAGGTATTGCTGAATCAAAGGGCGTGCACAATTTGGTTGTCCTTTGGACATAGCTCCAAACTGCTGTACAGAATGGTTGGGTCAGTTAACAACTCAACAAATAGTGCATTAGTTTACCAATTTTCCTGCATCCTCTCCAAAATTTACCATTTTCATTTTTTTTCATATTAGCCAGTCTTATAGGTGTGAGGTGGCACCTCAGAGTTGTTTTACTTTGCATTGCTGTAATCAAAAGCGATTTAGAACACATCTTCATTTACTTATAGATAGCTTTGATTTCTTCATCTGAAAACTGCTTGTTTATATCCATTGACCATTTAGCAATTAGAGAATGGCTTATATTCTTATAATTTGACTCAGTTCTCTACATATTTTAGAAATGAGGCCTTCACCAGAAACACATGTTATGAAGATTCTTTCCTAGCTTTCTACTTTTCTTCTAATCTTGGTTGCGTTGGTTTTGTTTTTGCAAAAGCTTTTTAATTTAATAACCAAATTAATTAAATTTAATAATCAAAATGATCTATTTTACATTCAATAATGCTCTCTATCTCTTGTTTTTTGATGACCCTGTAACTCACTTAACTTCACCTTTAAGAATTTGGATGCTATACCACTTGGTGCGTTATCAGTATTGCTTCATTGCCTATGGTACTTTTTAGCAAGATGTCGTATCCTTCCTTATCTCTTTAAATTATGTCAATTTTTACTTTTGTTTTGTTTGAAATCAGGATTGCTACCACTCCATTTTTATTTACACTGAAGCATAACAGATCCTGCTCCATCCTCCTACCTATACTCTGTGTGTGTCTCTCTGATTCAAATGTGTTGTAAACAACATATTGTAGGATTCTGGTTTTTGATCCATTTTGCTATCCACTTCCATTTTATGGGAGAGTGTATCCCATTCACATTCCCAGTTATGATTACTGTGTACTTCCCTGCATCCTAGTTTTCATCCTGTTTGTCCTCTCTCTCCTTTCCCACCTCACCAATGTTTTACATCTGTCTACCACCTTCCCTGGTCTATGCTGTCTTCTGTCAGTTCCCTCACCCCTACTTTACTTAATATCCTCTGCTCTTACTTTCCTGTTGGGTAAGATAGAGTTCTATATTCAACAGATTGTGTACATTATTCCTTTTTGAGTCAATACTGATGAAAGTAAGGTTCAAGTGATACCCATTGCCCACCCTCCCACATTTCCCTACACTCTAATAGATTTTTCTCATCTCTTCATGAGAAATAATTTGTCCCATTCTATCTCTCTTTCTTCTGCACTCAGTGTACTCTTCTTTCTCATTCCTTAATTAAATTTTCAATGTCATTCCCTACAATTCACTTCATACCAATACATCTGTCTATGTATATTCCTTGTAGCTGTACTATTAATGATACAATTTTTAAGAATTACAACTATCTGTGCTTGCTTTGGCAACACATATACTAAAATTTGAATGATACAGAAAAGATTAGCATGGTTCTGAGCAAGGATGACACTCAAATTTGTGAAGCATTCCATAATTTTTTTTCAATGAGGGTGGGTGGGGAAAGAGGAAGGGACAAAATTTGTAACCTAAAATTTTAAAAACATGTGTTAAAAATTCTTTTCAAATGCAACTGGGAAATAAGAAATGCAGGAAATGGGGTATAAAAATCTATCCTGTCCTACCGGAAAATAGAAGGGGAAGAGGATAAGAGAAGGGGGGGAGAGATTAGAAGGGAGGGCAGATTAGGGAAAGGGTATTCAGAATGCATGTCATCTTGGGGTGGGGGAAGGGATGAGATGGGGAGAAAATTTGGAACTCAAAATCTTGCGGAAGTGAATGTTGAAAACTAAAAATAAACAAATTTTTTAAAAAAGAAAAAATATAACTATCATCTTCCCATGTAGTAATATAAATAATTCAGCTCCATGGAATCTTTTTTTACTTTTCCCTTTTTTACCTTTTTAGGCTTCTTTTGGGTCTTCATATTGGATATAATATTTTTGCCCACTTCTGGTCTTCTCCTTAGGAAAACACAAAATCTGTCTATTCAATTGAAACATCATTTTTCTATCCTTGAAGTATCTTGCTTAATTTTGCTGGGTAGGTGATTCTTGGTTGTAGTCCTAGCTCCTTTGCCTTCTGGAATTTCATGTTCCATTATCTCTGATTCTTTAACATTGCAGCTGCTAGGTCCTATGTAATCCTGATCGTGGCTCCCCAATATTTGAATTGTTTCTTTCTGTCCACTTGTAGTATTTTTTTCCTTGACCTGATAGTTCTGTAATTTGGCTATAATGTTCCTTTGAGTTTTTATTTTTTTTTGGATTTCATTTCCGCAGTGATAGATAGATTCTTTTAAAGCCTATTTTGCCCTCTGATTCCACAATATCAGGGCAGTTTTCCTTAATGCTACCCAGGTCCTTTTTTTGGTTTTCCCTGTCACCAAGATAATTCTCTATGGTCATTATTTTTCTTTGTTGCTTCTTGTTCATGTTGTTTGTCTTTTTGGCTTTTAAAATTTGTCTCTACTTCTGGGGCACAGGAGGCACTGTCCCAGACTTCTTGTCCTGGGGGCTAGGGACCTGGTTACCGGTTTTCTGTGCCAGGGCCTCAGGTGCTAGCAGCTGGAGGCTTTAGATATCTGGTAGCTCACATGGTGCTGAACTGGAACTAGTGGTGGTGGTGGTTGGTGTGTGCCTGGTATTAGGGTTTACTTGCTTCAACACCCTGGTGCTCAGGATCTCCTACTGGTTTGCTGAGGTGGGGCTTGCTGCTGGTCCTGAGAGTGTAGTCAGTATTTTAGAGCTACATACTGGCCAAAGTGTATGATGATTTCCTGAGAAGATAGTAAAGTTGAAATGTGGCAGTTTATAGAGGATCTGAAACAAATACTCTATTTTTTCACCAGATGGTTTTGATGTCTCTAATTCAATTTGCAAGTATAACAACAGCTTTAGACAACAGTCAGATATCATAGGTATATCTTAAAACATATAAATATTTTCTTAGGTCAACCTAATTAACTAGAATGTAAATCTTCTCTTTTATTCCATCTGTTTTGGAAATAAGAAATTACATTATCCAAGATAATGGAGGTTGAAATTACCCTAAGACCATTCTTACCTAAAGTTAGGTAATATATATAAGAGGGTTATGACTTGCTGTTACTTCAACATAAATGAAACACAACAAGTTCAAAATACAATTAGTGTTTAAATTGAAATTACTTTTAGTTTAGATCTGCTAAAAAAAGTAAAGAAAAGAAATATTATTTTTTCTCAGAGAATATGAATAAAAACACTTCTACTGGAAATAACTGAGGGTGTATTAGGGTCTGGATTATACATTTTCTCTTCCTATATTGAGCTTTGTGTTTTAATAATTGCCCAAACCTTCAAAATTCCCACTCCACTATCCTAAGGAACCATTGCCCTTGCCAAGGCTTAATAATTACAAGTGAGTCCTAGACAACAGAAATAATTGGACTACAATCTGTCCATTTCAATTACATTGACCATCTTCACAGTCAAATGAGATTTAGGCCATGGTGAATCTCATTGAGTATGCAAAATTCAGCCTTTAACAAAGGACAATCAAAAATGTAAGCAGGATACTTGATTCTGTGTCCATGAATAAACATGGTCACAGTCCCTGGATTTGAAGCTATGGCAGATGCTGTCAGATTTCTTTTGTCATTTAAGACACTTTTCAAAAGCAAAATGGAGCACCAAGACAGTTAACCCAATCATTTAAGAAAAGATAGAAATTCTTATGATACTATCTTCCATTTGTAAAGGAGTTTTAATGTAGAACAGTAGTTCAAGAGATGAAAGTAACCTTTGAGTCCATCTAGACAAAACTTCTCATTTTAAGATGAAGAAAATGAGGCTGACACAGATTAAATGAATTAATCAAGGTCACAGAAGTAGTAGGTAAGCATCAGAGGCAAATTTTGAAGTCAGATCCTCTGACTCCAAAAATGATGTTCTTTCCACTTTATTGTGCTGATACTGTTTGTCAAAAGACTGTCATATACTTCAAATCATTTCAGTCGCATAATGCCCTCCTGAGATAGGCAGGGCAGAAATTTTTCTCTCATTTGTAAATTTAAAAAATTGTATTGTGGTGGCAGTGTAAGTGACCATCATCTTTCATGTAATTTATTATTCCACTGTCATTAAAAAATCATCCAAAACTTTTTCAATTAACATTCTAGATATTAGGTATGAAACATTTTATGAATTTTTGAATAATTCTATCCCTTTTTCAATTCCCCATTGATATTGTAGATTTGACCTTAACCCCTCTGGGCAGGAGTTAAGCATTGATTTTCCTTGGTCCAATCTGATTTCCTAAAATTTCGGCAGATGCCAAAAGTGTGGGCTCAAAGGGGACTTTTTCATTGCTTTATACTTTATTTTTTAATGTTTTCCTTGAAACTTAATTTGACATGATTCCTCAGGAGTCCTAGCAACCTGCCAAATTTGAAATGTTTTTGTTCAGCTGTTTTTAAGTTACTGATGAAAGAGGTCCTAATTCTAATAAGATGGAAAAGTCTAGTTTTCCAACTTGTCTGAAACTCCAAAACAACTAAGTAAATCATGGTACTTTTGGAAATAACAAAAAAAAATTACAAAGAAAAATAACAACCAAAAAAAAAACCTTCTCATATCCGAGAGTAATGCTAGAGATAGAGAATCAGTAAGGGGTGTTACAATCCTAACAACAAATTGATTTTGATTTTAGAGGAAATAACTCAATAGAGAAGTTGTGTATGAAATTATAATTTCATATCCTTCAGTTATTTCAGTTCACTGATCATTTCCCTTCAATCACTCAATACAGATTTATGAATCTATGTTGATTTGTATTGAATGAAGTTTACCTACTGCCCAAGCCAATGTAATGTGCTTTGGGGAGTACATGCCAGGGGAAAAGGCATGGTTGTTACCCATTAGGAGTCTATAATCTGGTAATTCATGGATTTTCATGATTGAGTAAAGGATTTTGAAGTTAGAAATGAAAAAAAAGAAAAAAATATTAATCCCTTTAATGGGGAAAAAATGAGAGAGGAAAGAGACTACATGTTTAATGGACAAAAGGAAATGAAACATTTGAACATTCTAATTCATTGCAGTCCTTCAAATAATTCCCTGAGTGGTGGGATCAGTACTTGATTTCCCCACATTATCCAACTAGCTGTTGAAACAAACAATAGCTGATAAAAGTAGAGATTTAGAAATGCAAGGGACCTTAGAGGTCATCTTGTATAACCTTTTAATTTTTGTTGATTAGGAGACTGCAGACTAAAGAACAGTAGCAATTTGCTGATAGTCACATCAATAATAAGCTGCAAAAACAGGATTAAAACTCACATCCTCTGACCTCAAATCTGGCATTGTTTCCATGTCACCAGATCATGGACTCAAAGAATTATATATCTGAATTAGGGGAGGCCTCAGGGGCCATCTAATTCAACACTTCCATTTTGCAAAAAAGAAAACTGTCTCAGGGAGGTTAAGTGATTTGTACCAGGTGATACTGGTGAAGTATCATGAGATTTGAATCCAAGCATACCAACTCCTGACTTAGTCCTTCTCTCACTGTACTGGGTTGCAAACCGTATAGACTAATGTAATGCCTCCATTTTTTCACCATACACTACACTGATATCATTAATAAATAACTGAATATCAGCAAAATTGATAGTTACTCATGCTGTTGATCTGATTTAATTAAGATATAAAATACTAAGTCAGTCTCTTTTCTGCTCTATAAACTTGACCTCTGTTGAAATAATAGTCCATAACTACACATTGAAATTATTTTGACTACTCTGACTGCTTTGACGATTCAAATCTAGCCCCAAAAAAGCCAAGCCAATTGTTTGACTTTTTATTTTTTAAACCAAGTCAGACAAAAAATGGTCAAATCACTTTGTGCACATACATCATAGGTGCCAATGGTGACTGTGCACTGTTCAGTGCCTCAGCAATACTACTTTTGTGCTTAACCTTGTTTTGAACTGTATCTTGTTCTCTAAAAGAATATTGTAATAATCCGAGGCTTGGGTCATGAGTCATCTTCCTCCCCCTCACATTTGAAAAGTAACTCATTCCCCCCTACTGAGTTGACAGAAAGGAATTCTGTCACATGATTGTCTTCCACATTATCACAAAATAAATGTTGTTGCAAATCACAGACGATTCTATAAAGTAGAAGACATTTATTTTGCAATAATGCAATGACTTTGTCTCTATGATTCAGAATGATTGATGTAGATGTAATCATTCTGTCTCCTAGATATTGGTAAAATAAAATGACAGCTGTTGGCTGTGCAATAAGAGAACATCTGCATCAAGATAGACTAGAAGAGCAGAGGAAGAATGGTACCCACAAACCACAATGTGAGGTAAAGAGATTCCCATCATCCAATGAATTTACCATATACATTTTTAGGCCAAATAATGAAAATCCAAAACATAACTTTCTGGTCTGTGTGATGCAGATTGGCTGTTCAAATGCATCAAGTGATCTT